ATTCTGTTATCTGGTGGCTGCCCACATAGCTAGACTCATGGTTCAGTTTTTATCCTCTGCCCCGCCCCCATTGTTCATCAAGTTATTTTTCATTTCCTGACTACACTTTAACATTTCATTATAATGCCCAATTACTTTTCTGTAGCATTGTGTGGTGTGTGCTTATTTCCTTCTGCACCTGGAATATAACTCCACTTGTCCTTCAAGTTTCAATGCTATTTTAGGCTCATGTGTGAAGCCTTTGTGGACTGCAGGAGAAGTTGACTATTTGGGGATCCTTTCAGCAAATTTACAGTGACACCTGACAGTACTGCATTTATTTATTTACATGACTTTGCCCAGGTTTAGACTGGGAGCTTAAAAGAAGGAACAAATCTTAGTATTTTCTTCCTCCAGGGAATATATTTTAGTGCTTACCATACATAATTGCTTAATAAATCTTGGAGGAGGCTGTAAAACCAGACAATTGAGTGAGGTCAACAGATACAACCTACATGGCGGGGAATGAGAAGCAGTGAAACAAGGGGAGGGATGCCCCAGGATGTACTCTAACACCAGAAAAGACAGATGGAAGAAAGAAAATACTCTGGTAACCCAGAATCTCCCTCCAGACTCTGGAATAGAACATTTGTTGTGGGGTTCCTGTTCTATAGCCCAAGAAAGGGCCAGGGTGTGGAAACATTCATGAGACCTCTGGAAGACACAACTGTGTTTCCTCATAATCTGGGATTGGTAGGGTACACTTGAGAGCACTTAGAGGAAGTATTTAAGGGTTTCTGTGGTTTGAGAAGACACACTGGGAACCATGGTGCATAAAAAACAAGACTATAACTTTTTTGTTATTCCTAATTTAATTTTTTGTTGGTTTATATGCCCATTTAAAGATTTTTTTATTGTTCAAGTACAGTTGGCTGCATCTTCCTCCCCACCCCAGCTATCCCCACCTTGTCCTTTGATCGCACCCACTCCCTTGGTTTTGTCCATGTGTCCTTTACAGTTCTTCCTGAAAACCTTCCCTCTTTTTCCTCCATTATCTCCTCCAATCTCCCCTGTGGTTACTGTCAGGTTGTTTTTAATTTCTATTTTTGTGTTATATTTTGCTTGCTTCTTTATTTTCTTGATTAGTTGCAACTTAAAGGTGAGATCATATGGTATGTGTCTTTTACTGCTGGCCTATTTCACTTAGCATAATGCTCTCTAGCTCCTTCCATACTGTTGCAAAGCATAAAAGCTCCTTCTTTATTTCTGCTGCATAGTATTCCATTGTGTAAATGTACCATTGTTTTTTTTTGTTTTGTTTTGTTTTATTGAGGTATAATTGACGTAACATTATATTAATTTCAGGTATACAATGCAATAATTTGGTATTTGTATATATTGTAAAATGATCAACACACTAAATACAGTTAAATCTATCACCATACATAGTTACAACAATTTTTTCCTGTGATGAAAACTCTCAAGATCCACTCTCCCAGCTATGCATACAAATATGCAACACATTATTAATTATAGTCACCAGGTTTGTACCATAGTTTTTGATCCATTTATTTGCTGATGGGTACCTAGGTTGCTTCCAGCACTTGGCTGTTATAAATTGTACTGCCATGAACATTAGGGTGCACAGGTTCTTTTGGATTGGTGTTTCAGGGTTCTTAGGATACAATCGCAGCAATGGAATTGCCTGATCAAAAGGCAGATCCATTTTTAGTTCTGAGGAAATTCCACACTGCTTTTCATAGTGGTTGTACTAGTCTGAATTGCCACCAAAAGTGCCACTAGGGTTCCCTTTTCTCCACATCCTCTCCAACACTTGTTTGTTGACTTATTTATGATGGCCATTCTGACTGCTGTGAAGTGGTATCTCATTGTGGTTTTAATTTGCATCTCTCTGATGGCTAGTGATGCTGAGCATCTTTTCATGTGTCTGTGGTCTCTATGTCCTCCTTGGAGAAGTGTCTGTAAATATTCGATAATCAAAGGCATGTAGTACACCAACAATGAAATATCAGAAACAGAGATCAGGAAAAAATCCCATTTGATATAGCAACAAGAAAAATAAAGTACCTAGGAATAAACCTAACCAAGAAGGTAAAAGACCTGTACTCAGAAAGCCACATAACACTGAAGAAAATAATTAAGGAAGACACAAACAAATAAAAGCATGTACCATGTTCATGGATTGGAAGACAATTTCTTTAACAATTTCATGAGACTGTCAGAGTAGCCCTGAACTTCCTCCCCAACTCTACACCTGTGATTTGCAAATAAGTAAAAGTTTAATTTATTGAAGTCTTTATCGTGGCAGAACTTGCCTTTAAGCTTAGTGCCATCCCAAACTCAACACACTGTTGTAATAAGTGTATCTGTATATTTATAATTGCTGCACACAAATGGCTCAGTTGGTTGGAGTATCATCCTGTACACCAAAATGTTTTGGTTTCATCCAGATAAAGCATATACCAGGTTAAGGGTCTGATCCTAGTTGGGGTACATAAGAAAGCAACCAATCAGTGTTTCTCTGTCACATTGATGTTTGTCTCTCTCTCTCTCTCTCCCCCACTTCCTCTCCCTGTAAAATAAATACATGTCTACTAGGGTGAGGACTTTTTAAAAAAAGCCTGGAGAAATTAGAACACTTCCAGAAGATAATTATTAATATAGACACCCCAATGTCATAAGAAAAACAAATGAAAAATTTAAAGATGTTTTCTCTGCTTAAGTAAATACTTAGTGGTTACAGAACCTGCCCTCCACTGGAAAGGAACCTGGCATTGACTGGCACTTCTGAAATCACTTCATGCCCTCCCTCATGGGTATCTTGCAGTCTCCAGAAATTCTCATCTCTCCTCAATCCTCACATTCAGAATATTCACAGTGAAACCAATGCCACAACACTCCCTCCTCTTTCAAATTCCATTCTCTGTAGTATCTGCATTTCAAATGCCACTTCCATCTATCAGGCACCCCACCCCCAGAAAATACAAGGATCAGTTTGGGAATCATTATGAATATGTGAAGAGCAGGCCAATAAAAAGTAAAGCACTATGTACATAAAGAACCCCAAAGAGATGGTACAGGGAAAGGAAGAACTCCCTAGCTCTGTTAATCCAATAGTTAAGTCCCTATACTTGAGAAACCTGTAAGGAAAAGGTTTATTACTTTTCAACCTAGAAATGGCAAGCCTAAGAAGGGGCAGGTGTGGGGCTGCTCATATTTGGAGGGGTTTGAACCTCTAGAGTGGAATTTCCACAGCAGATCATTAAACATATTTTTACTCTCACTTTTTTCTCTATCATCATTCAGCTGTTCGGGGGGGGGAATTAGTCAAATAAAATTTGACTGAATTGATATTTACATAAGTGGAAGACAGTTTGCAGAATTGTCCCCAATTCTATGTCTGTTTCCAGTCTTTAGCAATGTGACTGTGAAGCTTCTCCCATCCAGAGGGGGAGTTACATCTCCACCTTTGAACCTGGGGTGGACTTATGAATTTTTACTTGTTTTGGCCAATAAATATGGTGAAAGTGATAATATGCTTTACCATGCCTTATCATTTTGGCTTTTCTCACCTGGAATTCTGGCTCAGCTATGTGAAAAATCCAGGTGGAACTTCAGAGGAGTAGGGGACATGTGGAAAGAGCTCACTTACCCAGCCAAGGCCTCCCTAGATCGGCCACAATAGCTGAGCCACTAGTGTATTAGAAAGCCCAGCTAAGGTCAGCAGACACACCCCAGCTGACCCATAGCTGACTCCAGACTCCTGAGCAGACCAACAGACATCAGAACACCTCCATACTATGCAAAAGAATTGGAAAATAAAGGAGTTATATTAAACCATTTGCTTTTCGGATGGCTTATTATATGGCAATAGCAAACTAATGCTATAATCAAAGCAAACAGAACTGAGGGCAATTATAATAATCTGCCACTCTTTACCTTTAGCATTTGTACTGATGGAGGACAGCATTCACAATCGTGCTTTTATTCAGATGTATTTCAGGTAACTGCATTAAAGCAAGTCCACTGAGGTTCCCTTCCAGGTATTCAGGACAGGGTGAAATGATGTGCACATTTGTGCAGGAAAATGGTGACTCCTTTTCACATGCCTGGGTAGGATTTCAGCTCCTGTGTGATTAATTCTTTAATCATAAAGACTTAAGACATTCCTGAGTATAAACGAGATATGTATTGTATGGTATTCATATTGGTCCCTCACTGTCCCTTTGGTGTATTTGGAAACATTTGGGAAAGGGGAGACATTTCATTTAAAGCACTAGAATGAGTCCATTTGTAGGGAGCACATTGAAAGTTTGCAAGCAGAAACAGAAAAATACTTCAAAAAACCCACAAAACACTCCATGTATTTCTTTACCCCTCACACATGGACATCATATTCCACACTTCAATGAGTAGAGATGTGCAGCATAAAAAATATTTTGTATAATAATAAGTTGTCTGGTACTTTTTCCTACATTATATGTACAGTCATCGATTACACATTAGGTCAAATGATTCACTGAAATGTACATTTCATAGTAGACTCTTGGAAACATGGATTTGTTAGTCAATTTTGTCCAGGGGCTATGTAGGCATGTGGACACACAGCTGAATAACACAATGAAATATATAAACCTGGGAGACCAGCTATAAAACCTACCAGCACGTTCAGGTCTACATTATCAAGAAGCCTAGTAAATGTAGTGCTATAGAAAATAATGATGACTATGAAAGTGAAAATTGTGGTCTCACATGTTCCTCTCCAATGAAATTATATACATGACCTCAGTATCCAAGTGTACTTTAGTTAATAAAAATAGTATAATTCATGACTACTTTTTCATTAAAATAACAGAAATATTACTTGGAATGGCATATGTCATAAGAGAATAAATTATGCTAATGTAATTCATGTTAACCAATGAGATACATGAGAATTTCTAATTATGTATGGTCCAAATATTATATTAACTTGTGTCAGAACTTCTTGCTCTGAAGCTTCAAACATTCATGGGCAGTTCTTCAGACACATACAGTTGGCCCTTGAGAAGCCAACCTGGCAAGGAATCTTTCAAGGCCCTCTTTATGTCCTTGTTCCTGAGACTGTAGATGAAGGGGTTCAGCATGGGTGTGACTACAGTGTACATCACTGAGGCTGTTACACTTGACTTTGAGCTGTGGGTATCAGCAGAGCCAAGATACACGCCTAGGCTCGTACCATAAAACAAGGAAACAACTGAGAGGTGAGATGCACAGGTAGAAAATGCTTTATACTTCCCCTGTACTGATGGGATTGCACATATGGAGGACACTATCTTAGAGTAAGAATATAGGATCCCAGTAAGGGGAACAGCAGCCAGCAGCCCTGCTGAAAAGTACATCACAATGTCATTAGATAAGATGTCAGAACAGGCAAGTTGGACCACCTCTTTGAGTTCACAGAAAAAGTGGTGAATTTCCAAGTCTGAGCAGAAGGACAGATCCAAAACCATTAAGCTTTCTAACAAGGAATTCAGAACACTAATGATCCAGGACCCCAGAACCAGCAGCCCACAGAGGCGGGAGTTCATGATGACTGTGTAGTGCAGAGGGTGACAGATGGCCACATACCTGTCATAGGCCATGACAGTAAGGATGAAGTCATCCAACACTGCAAAGTGTATGTAAAAATACATCTGGGTGATGCAGCCTGCATAAGTGATGGCTTTGCTCTGTGTCTGGATGTTCACCAGCATCTTCGGGATAGTGGTAGAAGTGAAACAGATGTCTACCATGGACAGGTTGGAGAGAAAGAAGTACATGGGCATGTGGAGGTGGGAGTTGGAGCTGACAGCCAGGATGATGAGCAGGTTTCCCAACACAGTGGTCAGGTACATGCAGAGGAAGAGCCCAAAGAGGATGGGCTGCAGTTCTGGTTCCTCTGATAGTCCCAGGAGAAGAAACTCTGAAATTCGTGTAACATTGCCTGGTTCCATGTGGGGCAGGAGACTACCAAAAAACAGAAGAAAATGAATAACTAATTTTTACATTAGTAACTGAGAATAAATGGTACATTTTTTTATGATGCAAAAACTAATTTCCATATTGGGTTACGATCATGTTTCTGCTAAGGCTTGTCTACTGCCATTGTTCACTAAAATTCCCTTTTCTACCATGAACTCATTCTTCAAACACCATGTATATTGCTATTTTATTGGGGATACTATTCATGCATTTGAGGAATAGACTCATATATTGATTTTAGACTTGTACCAAGCACTGTTCAGAGTATGGAATGAGAAAGACAAAAGTCTCTACAAACTAATGATGGGCAAAAATATATTCAAACAAAAATAATACTATAACATATATGATGGTGCAGATGCTATAGAAAAAAGTAAATCACACTACATGAAGAGAATGGAGAGAGGATGCTTCTTATTTTATTTATTTTTTATGACAATTTTTCTATTACCACTTAACCCCCTGATATTCCCTACTTTCTCACAACCACACACTGTTGTTCATGTCCATGAGTCCTTTTTCTTTTGCTCAATCCCCCACACCCTAACCTCTCACTTACTACCTGTCATCCTGTGGTTTATCTATCCATATGTCTCTGTTTTGCTTGTTAGGTCACTGTGTTCATCAGATTCCAAATATAAGTGAAACCATATGGTATTTGTCTTTCTCTGAGAGGCTTACTTCACTTATTGTGAAGTTCTCCAGGGCTATCCATGCTGAGGGTGTTCTTCTTTATAGAGTTTAACCAAGGGTTGCCAACATACAACACTTTAACAGGCACCTTAAAGAAAACTAAGTGGGAGCCTAGGGGGAGAAAGTGTTTGCCAGGCAGACAAACAGCCAATGTAAAGGCCCTGAGGAAGATGGTGGTTTTAGAAAATCAAGGCTCAGAACCAGCCAGTGTGTCAGGGGCAGGAGAGATGGTGTTAGAGAATATTAAAAACAATGGGGCCTGTGTGTTGCTTTTGGAACTTCAAGTCACAGAGAGTCCCTTTGGCATACTGTGAAAATCTTGCAATTTATCAATCTTGTTGCAAAAGCATCCTGTGAATTGAAAAAAATCTCCTCCTTAGTGCCTTCTCCTGATGCAGTTCTGCCCCTCTGTGTGATAAGTCATCTTGGAATACATGAGTCCAGGTCCCCGTGCTCTGAGCCCTGCTCTCTGTTTACGAGGCACTCATGGGCACACACACCATGGCCTCCTCATGTGTGTGGTCTCCCTGTTTGTCTCACTCACTATTTAGGCTATGAGGACATACAACTCAAGCTGTCCGGATCAAGTATCCTTTCCAAAAAGAATTTAGACATAATTCTTCTATACAGCTATGGTAAGCCTGCATGCACAAATAAGCATGGGATTCCAGATTGGAATGTCCATTTTATGCCTTGTATTTAAAAAAATATAAATGTAGATGGAGAGAGAATAAAATGGACATGAGGAAGAAAAAATATCTACTGATAAGTTCAGGTGATCTCTGAGAGATGATGAGGAAGAAGTGTCTTTGGATTCTGGCAACTTTCCAATTCTAAGTACACTCCCTTGATGTCAAGCAAAAATAATAAAGGAGAAAAAGACATGTTTGTCCAAAACACAAAGGTAGTTAGTTATCTACACATGATGTGGAAACACCTTGCAGATTCACTACCCCAAGTGATAACTGAGCAACAACATACACTAGTATTTTACCAAAGGAAATCTCTTTAATTAATATCAAGTAGTAGAAGACTTGCTTTTCCTATGCCTCTCCTATAGTTATTTGATGAGTGGGTTTTTATAAGGTTAAAATGCAGATGAAACAAACCCCTCCCTCACTTTTCTCATGTGGTTCCTTTCTTTTTCTTGGACTTTAGTTGTGGATCTCATTTTTGGCAAATCAATAGGGACTGTCTCATTCTGGTTCTGGTCTTCATCCAACATGCAAAAGCCTCCCCAGGACATGACAAATAAAGCCTGCACACGCCATGACAATCCATCCTTTGACACTGAGTAACTTTGTTCATGTGACTTAAGCCCATCCACATTACCATACAAACATTTATTTCACCATACTGTACTTTCACCATCACAATACTGTGAGGGGGAATGGTGGGGGAAAATGGAGACAACTAACTGTACTGGAATAACAACAAAAATATAGTGTGAAGATAAAAATTAAAAATAATTAAAAATCAAAATTAAAAATGGAAAAAACACCCCGCTAAATTAAAAAAAAACAATGGCAGATCTGAAGAAGCAGAGCTTCACTTGCTTTGATCACCTCGGTATTTTTACAAATGTGTTTATATATATCTGTGCACTTAGCAGGAAGCTGTTGAAGGAAAACTGAACTAATGAAAGGAATGGCAGGAGAATAAAACCTGGTTAAACAGAGCAGTTTAGCAACTGTGTTCAAGAAAATGAGGGGAGCATCAAAAAGTAATGAAAATAAGGTATAAATAACAATGTGCATTCGTAATTACATTGGCAAAGGCACAGACACACAAAGCAATGTACGATGTTCTTAGAGATGGTGGCAAAGCAGAGGCTCAATTTTATTTCTTGGATGAGTCAGGAATTAGGCCTCAGGATATACGTACATTTAATACATGGTAAGGTTGTATTTCTGTATATTTAGAAAGGTTGGATTGTTGAATAAAAGTTGGAAAAAGAAACATCCACCTGGAAGAAAATAAAGTTGATACCCTACCTCTGTCTCATTACATAGACTGGCTACTCACTGGCAGAGTAACCAGTCCTTTTAGGTAAACAGATGGAAAAGTATATATTAATACTGATGTGTGGGCTAAACCACCTTAATCTGGTCAAGAGACTCAGTAGTAAAAACACAAATATATTTAATGAAATAAATTGCAAAACATTTTTATGGCCAAAACATTCCTAAAGTCATTAAGAAATAATATTTGTTATTTATTTTTATTTTTATGTTATTAATTTAATTGAATTTATTGGGGTGGCATTGTTTAATAAAATTATGTAGGTTTCAGGGGCACAAGTCTCTGATACTCACCTGTATTTTGTATTGTGCGTTCAGTGCCTCAAGTACGGACTCCTTCTGTCAGCATTTAACCCTCTTTTACTGTCTTCTATATCCAACCACCATAATTTTTAGAAATCATTGAGAAGCCTGACAATAAAAACATAGTAACCATATAGTAATGTTCAAATTATTCAAAAAACATCAAATATGAATCTATGATCAAAAATCAGAAAAAGTTCTTGGCCTGCCTGGTATAGCTCAGTGGATGAGCACAGGCCTGCGAACCAAAAGATCACGGTTTGATTCCCAGTCAGGGCACATGCCTGGGTTGCAGGCCAGGTCCCCAGCAGGGGACACATGAGAGGCAATCACACATTGATATTTCTCTCCCGCTCTCCTTCCCTTCCTCTCTGAAGATGAATAAATAAAATAAAAACATTTTTTTTTAAATCAGAAAAAGTTCAACAAATAAAAAAGTTCTTTCACAACTGTCAGCCTGGAGAAAAACTTAAGAGAAATGTCACATTGACTGGGGTGCAGACTTCTAAACTGGTAGCAAAGGGGTGCCCTGTTTTTTCCTGGCAGAACTGTGAAGTGTTACAACATTGGGAGAACAGTCTGAGGGCAGCTACACACACTACAAGACCCGTGTCTCTAAGGCAGGGCTCCTTAGTCTCTGCAGGACTGACATCCTGGGCCAGGGCTTTGTCTGAGGGGTGGTCTCTCCTGGCCATTGCAGGATGTTCAGAGCATCCCTGGACTTCACTGACACCTCCCATGTGACAGCCAAAAATGTCTCCAAAGATTGTTGAGTGGCCCCTAGGGGAACAATATATTGCCTCTGGTGAAGAACCAGAGTTTTAATGTAACAATCTCAAAATATTTTCACATATTGTTATAACAGCAATGTGTTAAAAAAAAGTATACCTTAGACTTCAAGGGTGACTAGCACAGCCACACCTCAGAATATTATGTAGACATGGAAATAATGAATCAGTGTCTTACACCCTTTTTGACTGGAGGGGACACCATAGGTATTGTTGAGTAGGAAGGAAGAGTGGACACATAGAAAAACAAGCTGCACAGTAGATAAAGAGCATTTCTGAGGGCGAGAATGCTGTTCATGCATCTGTACAAAAGCGCATGGGGGTATATGTGAGCATAATATAGGAAGACAAGATTTAAAGAAAGAAACTAAGAGCTTATGGAATAAAGATTACCAGCAGGAATGCAATTAGGTTAAGTACACTGATCACAAAACTATTGTACAAAAATAATTAAGTGAGAATCAAATTAATTTATATTAAGACAGAAAATAATAACTTAATAATATCAACAAGGGCCACTGATCCCAGATTAAACTGACAAAGATTTGGAAATAAAAGAATGTTATAGAGACAGACCAATAACAGTAATCAACAAACTCCCATCACACAAAAGCCCTGTACCAGGTGGTTTCACAGGAGAATTCTACAAAGCATTAAAGGAACAGCTAACCCCTATTCTTCACAGACTATTTCAAAAAATCCAAAATGATGGGAGACTCCCAAACTCTTTTTATGAGCCAGCATCATCCTAATTCCAAAACCAAATAGAGACACAACAAAGAAAGAAAACTTCAGGCAAATATCGCTGATGAACATAGATGTTAAAATCCTCAACAAAATATTAGCAAATCCCATCCAACAATACATCAAAAAGATCATACACCATGACCAAGTGGAATTCATCCCAGGGATGCAAGGATGGTTCAATATTTGCAAATCAGTAAATGTAATACATCATATAAACAAAAGCAAAGACAAAAACCACATGATCATATCAATAGATGCTGAAAAAGCTTTTGATAAGGTACAACACCCATTTATGATAAAAACACTCAGCAAAGTGGGAATACAGGGAGCATTCCTCAATATAATAAAGGCTATATATGAGAGACCTATAGCCAACATCATACTCAATGGGCAAAAACTAAGATCATTTCCACTAAGATCATGAACAAGACTAAGTTATCCACTCTCACCACTTCTATTCAATATAGTATTAGAAGTTTTAGCCACAGCAATCACACAAGAAAAGGAAATAAAAGGTATTTAAATTGGAAAGGAGGAAACAAAACTGTCATTGTTTACAGATGACATGATAGTGTACATGAAAAATCCTATAGACTCTACCCAAAAACTGCTTGAACTAATAAATGAATTTGGCAAAGCAGCAGGTTACAAAGTCAATATCCAGAAATCTCAGGCATTTTTGTATACTAACAATGAATCGGCAGAAGCAGAAATCAAGAAAAAAATCCCATTCGATATAGCAAAAGGAAAAACAAAAAACCTAGGAATAAGCCTAACCAAGGAGGTAAAAGACCTGTATGCAGAAAACTACACAGCCCTGAAAAAAGAAATCAAGGAAGACACAAACAAATGGAAACATATATCTTGTTCATGGATTGGAAGAATTAACATCATCAAAATGTCCATACTACCCAAAGCAATTTATAGATTCAATGCAATACTAATTAAAGTACCAATGTCATATTTCAAAGACATAGAACAAACACTTCAAAAATTTATATGGAACCACAAACGACCCAGAATAGCAGCCGCAATTTTGAGAAATAAGAACAAAGCAGGAGGGATCACAATACCTGATATCAAGCTATATTACAAGGCCACTGTAATCAAAACAGCCTGGTACTGGTATAAAAACAGGCACATAGGTCAATGAAACAGAATGGAGAGCCCAGAAATCAACCCAAATCCCTACAGTCTATTAATATTTGACAAAGGGGGCAGTAAAATAAAATGGAGTAAAGATAGCCTCTTCAACAAATGGTGTTGGGAGAACTGGACAGCTACCTGCAAAAATGAAACTTGAGCACAGACTTACACCATACACCAAAATAAATTCAATGTGGATAAAGGACTTAAATATAAGCTGTGACACCATTAAAGGCCTAGAGGAGAACATTGGCAGAAAAATCTCAGGTATTTCACGCAGCAACTTTTTTACTGATATGTCCCCTAGAGCAAGGAATATAAAGGATAGAATAAACAAATGTGATCTCATCAAAATAAAAAGCTTCTGTGTGGCTAAAGAAAACAGTATTAAAATAAAAAGACAACCGACTGTATGGGAAAACATATTTGCCAATGATACCTCAGAAAAGGGTTTAATTTCCAAAATATACAAAGAACTCACATGACTTCACTCTAAGAAGACAAATAACCCAATTAAAAAATGAGAAAAGGACTTGAACAGACACTTCTCCAAGGCAGACATACAGAAAATCCAGAGACACATGAAAAGATGCTCAATATCGCTAGCTGTCAGAGAGATGCAAATTAAAACCACAATGAGATACACCAATAAGAATGGCTATCATAAACAAAGCAACAAACAAATGTTGGAGAGGTTGTGGGGAAAAGGAGACCCTAGGTCACTTGGTGAGATTGCTGTCTGGTACAACCATTATGGAAAACAATATGGAATTTTCTAAGAAAGCTAAAAATGGACCTGCCTTTTGACCCAGCAATTCCACTGCTAGGATTATATCCTAAGAATCCTAAAATACCAATCCAAAAGAACCTATGCACCCCAATGTTCATAGCAGCACAATTTACAATAGCCAAGAGCTGGAAGCAACCTAGGTGCCCGTCAGTAAATGAATGGATCAAAAAATTTTGGTACATATACACAATGGAATTCTATGCAGCAGAAAGAAAGAAGGAACTCCTACTCTTTGCAACAGCATGGATGGAACTGGAGAGCATTATGCTGAGTGAAGTAAGTAGATGTTGAGGGACAAATACTAAATGATCTCACCTTTAACAGGAAGCTAAACAACAAAACACACAAGCAAGCAAAATAAAAACAAAGACACTGAAATGAAGAATGGGGTGGGGGTCGGAGACCAGAGGGGTGAGGGGAGGGAATTTCAGGGGAAAAAGGGGAGGGATTTAGAGGAACTAGTATAAAGGACACATGGACAACAGCTATGGGGGGTGAAAATGGGAGGGAGGTGGGGAGCACGGGGGTGGGCTGGGAAGGGAGTAAAAGGCAGAAAACTGTACTTGGAAAATAATTAAATAAAAAATGAAAAAAAGAGAATGTTATAAAGAGGTTTTTAAAATCAGGGAGAAAGCAGTATCTAAGTTACAATTTCTTCCTACATAGAGATATGTGGATTCACATTTGCTCATAAAAGGAACAGGTAGCCTTCAGTCAAATCTTTATCGAGAGTGCCTTCCACTGTAACAGGAACCTAATGAACAAAACCACAAGCAAGGAAAATATGAACAAAGACCCTAAAATTGAGAACAGGCTGACAGTGACCAGAGAAGAATGAGGAGGGGATAATGTGGGGGAAGGGTGAGGGGTTTATAGGAACAATTGGAAAGAACAATAACAGGGTGGGGCAGGGGTGGAAACAGGGGAAGGGGGTGGGGAGGGCTGAGGAGGAAAGGCAGAAAACTACTTGAACAGCAATAAAAATTTGTTAACAAATAAAAATAATGCTTCTGTGAGCAGTTTGTTCATCTTTTCTGTATTTCCATGCACTACTTTCTTTTGGACATGTAATTAACAGAAGAATTGCTTAGTCATATGGTATATTTATGTTCATATATGCCTAGTTCCAATATTTATGAAATAATCACAAATTTCTAAATAACCTGGGGTCATAACGCAAAACGAGTTAGTCTTTTAAATGCCTTTTAAGTGCATACCTCTCTTTAACATACGTTGATTTTGTGTGTTATGCCTTTGCTGAATTCATAAATGTACATTAAAACTACTTTGTGAAAATGAAAATAAATAAATGAAGATAAGAAAAAAGAAAACACTGAAATAGAGAACAGGCTGACATTGACCAGAGGGGAGAGGGGAGGGAATTTCAGGGGAAAAGAGGAAGGGTTTACAGGAACAAGTGTGGTGGACACATGGACAAGAAATAAGGGGGGTGGAAATGGGAGAGAGTTCAGGAGCACTGGGGAGGGGTGGGCTGGGATGGGAGTAAAAGGCAGAAAATTGTACTTGAACAATAATTTAATAAATGAAAGAAAACAAAAAAAAAGAAAAAGAAAAAAAGAGAGCCTTCCAGAGGACAGTAGGACATGAGCCAGTTTTGAAATAGAGCTAACCACAGAAGGCCAAGGAGAAATAAAGAATGATGGAGATGTGACTGTGTTGGCAGTATGTGTGTAGGGTGATTTATTAGTGCTAAGTACACAGAAAAACATTCACTCTCATTGTTTGTTTATAGCAAGGATTCACAAGTGAAGAATATAAGAGTAACAGCTGTGTATTTTTCAGTAAGAAAAGTAAAAAATAGAAAAGCAATGGAGAGAATACATTTGACTGAGTGATAATTTCAGTCCACAAAGTTAATAAATACTCACAATTCTCCACATATATGTACATAAAGAAACGCAGTGAGAACAACAAAGTTGGTGGGAAAAATCTCCTCCACATCCTTGTTTAGAAATATGTAATAAAAACAGGAATCAAAGCAGGCTGACCCCACTCTGCAAATATCTGGAACTTACAGACAATTTACAATAGAGGAAACAACTCAATGAGTAACCCACAAACGTATTCAGATCACAGGTAACGAAGTAATGGCAAAGTTAAGCTATTTAGCACACCTCTTTTTACTTTTCTAATACATTATTTTTCATGCTAGTTGATTACCCAGAGTGAAAGAAGATATTGTGGAATGTAGGTCTCATGACCATTGTTGCAAGGTAATATTTGCTAGATGTATATTGAATATGGATCTGTCTCATCAATACGAGACAGTCTTGAGTGTGCCCCATTATAAAAATGAAGAACTGCCTTCAATTTACTGTATAGTTCTCCACACCTAGTATTCTATTTCCCTATTCCTTTTAGTGACAAAATTCATTGCACATATTCTACTTTCACTTGAAATACTTTATGCCTCTCATTGCCACCTCAGTTGGGCTTCCATCAGTGAGTTGTGATGGAAGATGTTGCTGACTTCAATGTTCACTTCTCCTTTTAGCATCACAAACAAATCATGAAGCAGTTAATCAGGTAAGCAAACAACCATAGGCTGCTGGCTGTCAAAAGACCTCAGGTGAATGGGCTTGGCTTTGGTTTTCTCTGACCCTTTCCTAGAGCACTTACTGCACCCTTGGCTTCACCTAATCAGGAGCTCTGAGAGGATGGACTCCTGGTGAAGAAAGTCCAGCCTCTGGATAAATAACAATGGAGTCTGAAGCTCTCTGCTCAGACAAGACAGCAGGAAGGAGGCAAGCATTGGTCTCGAGACAAACTTAGGGTTCCAAAAGTAATAACCATTTCCCATCTAGCCCAAGGTCACACATTCTGAGTGACTGGAGATGAGGAGCTATTTACAGCTCTCTGTGTCTGCTCATTAGGTACATTTCCATCTTGTTATTCCAACCTCTAGTTGCATGATTTCCCTGTGGATCTAGACAAAAGGGACCATTCTCCTGGAGGTTCTGTGTCCCCAAAAGATCAGCTTGGAAGTTCAGTGAATCCTATTTTTACTAGTTTTTCCTCATAAAGTCTGTGGGTTCCAGAAGACTAACCTCCCAGCACTTTATCCAAACCCTCATTTAAAATTTTTCCAAATTTAAGACCAAGATTTCAGTCTGGATTAGAAAACTGAAATTCCTAAATATTGAATTGTGGTAGAGACTTGACCTGTCATGTCCACAGAAAACTGCTATTTTTCTTTTCAACAAGGGGGAGGACTAAGTTCCTTTGATTAAACCTTGAGTGTTACACACTGGGCTTCATGACACATTGGCCAAAACAATTTGGAATTTCAACCTCATATTACAAGAGCTGTCATTTAGTCCCTCACTATGAAATATTTGTTACTTATAAGAAATACATTTGGGTTTTTTTGCACTATGCTCTAAGCTTGGAACAGAAAAGTAAAAAGATTCTTCCCTGTAATCTCCAGAAGAAAGTTAGCCCTGCTAACATCTTGATTTTAGCCCATGAGACCTCAGAAATTGTAGGAGATTAAATGTGTTTGTTTATAAGTCACTGGTGCGGTAATTTTACATTAGCATTAATAATTGAATACACATTTTTATCCAAAGGAATTTGTCTAGGAAACTAAGTTAAAGTGCCTCATTGCATTGATTTAGCCTTTCCTGGGTAAAGGCACTTTGCATTGTATTCCCCCCTTAAGTGGAAGACACATATAATCATTCTGTAGATATTCAGCCTCTCTGGCTGGTAGAGAATTTCTTCTTGGCAAAGTGTCAATGAACTTCAGATTTAATGCTTTTGAAGCATTACTATAAGAAAAGGAGTTTATTTTAATTTATGTGTACCATTTAGTTTAAATCTTTGTGCCTAAATTTCTCCATCTTTAAATTTTATATTAAAATTTTATTACATTAAATTTTACATTATTTTATTCATTTTTATCTTTTTCAACTTTGTCTTAAAATAGAGAACTTTTTTTCAAACATGAGATTATATATGGGTCTGTGTTTGTGTACATATATGTGCATGCTCATTTGAAATAAAAATGTACACAAATAAACATGTACACACACATACAACTTTACCCTTGAACAGTTTATTGGGACCCAACAAAACATGTCCACATCTCATTTATTTTTTTGAAACATTCATCTGAAGTTATGTTTGCTATCTGACTTTACCATAAGATATAAGAAAATTGAGGCTCAGGTTTAACAATTACATTGGGAAGCCATTAAAGTTTATTGTGCAATTTCGCTACTTATACACAGTTGGAAACGTGAGGTGTGGATGATAATTTTTGTGACTTTTATTCACCACATTGTATATTTTAATCATGCTCCAGTTGTTTTATACAATTATACTTCAATAAATTACTTATAGGTAAAAAAAACATAGCAGTGCATGGACTGGAGTAGGATCTAGAGCTCAAGTAGCTGATTCACACTGAGAAATGGTAGAAGATATCTCTTCAACCTGGGGAAAAAAGCAAAGAACAATCTAAAAAAGAAAATTAATAAACCAAATGAAGGAGAAACAAATTCATAGATACAGAGAACTGATGGTTACTAGAGAGGGTGGGTGTGGGATGGAGGAAAAACAGGAAGCAGATTAGAAATTATAAACATCCAGTTATAACATAAGTAATGGGGATGTGAAGTACAGCATAGGGAATAGAGTCAATAACATTGTAATAACTATGTACGGTGACATGTGGTTACTAAACTTACAGTACTCTTCACTTTGTAAGATATAAAAATACTAAATCACTATATTATATACCTGAAATTAATATAATTTTGTTATATAAAATGTTATTATAGTAACATTTTGTATGTTAAGTATAATTAAAAATAAATTTAAAAAGTACAATTGGCAATAACTATCTAGGGGAGGCTAATGTAATACCTGTGGTTCTCTGAATGTACAAGAAGAAGGGAGAAGATAGAGTTGGTATCAGAGTAAGAATTAAAAATGCTACACTGCTGGCTTTAAAGATAGGTAAAGGGGAGTGATGTCAGAGAAATGGCAGTGTGAGAGATCCCCTTGGTCTCTCCTCCAGAAATGTCAACAATTTGAACAGCTATAATTTGACAAAGGATTCCCTGGTCAATGTACATATATGCCTCAGAGATTTGCATATTGAAACATTTAAAGGTGGGCCAGAGAGAACAAACAGGGGAGGCAAGAAGAATGATGGACCCAGTAAACACACAGCACAGGGGCTCAGCTGCAGCTTTCAGGCAGTTGGCATTCCAGAGAAAAAGAGCCATTGAGTCCTGATGTTCTAAACGCTCCCAAAGCTCACTTTCCATCACCCTTGGTGTCATGCTATCCTCAGAGCCCAAAACGCTTACTACAGAATCACTATTTCCCCTGAGTAAAGATTGCACTCTGTCACTGACCCCAAGTTGGGGTGCTGAGGGAGCCTCATGGAGGTCTAAGGTCACCTATAACAAGAAGGTAAAACAAAAAAGTCAGTCAGGTTACCCCAGGAAACCCCACCCTTGAGAATTGTTGCTAAGATTACAGCAGCTACTGGGGTCAACTTTGGGATTTCACAGAACTCAAAAACTGTAGACTCAGTGCCACTCACTCCCTAGAAAATAATGGCAAGAACTCTTCCTAGTTATCTGCTAGAGAAGTGCCACACTACAGAGATGCCTAGACAGAGAAGGAACTCATCAATTAACATGAATATCCATGGTATGAAGCAGCTTAGAAAGAAAATAACAATCTGAAGAAAGCAAACTTGAACACGTGGAAATATGTGCTAAACATTACAGAGAATTTAAGATCACATTTTCTATTTTAACCATTTTTATTTTTTAAATATATTGAATTGATTATGCTATAACAGTTGTCCCATTTTGCCCCCTTCACTTCCCTCCACCCATCACACCCTCTCCCACCCACATTCCCCCCTTTAGTTTATGTCCATGTGTCATACTTATAAGGTCTTTAGCTTTTACATTTCCCATACTATTCTTACCCTCCCCCTGTCTATTTTCTACCTACCATCTATGTATGCTACTTATTCTCTGTACCATTTTGCCCTCTCTCCTCCTCCCACTCCCTTATTGCTAATCCTTCATGTGATCTTCATTTCTGTGATTCTGTTTCTGGTCTAGTTGTTTGCTTAGTTTGTTTTTGTTCTTGTTTTAGGTGTGGTTGTTAATAACTGTGAGTTTGCTGTGATTTTACTATACATGTTTTTCATTTTCTTTTCTTAGATAAGTCCCTTTAACATTTCATATAATAGGGGCTTGGTGATTATGAACTCCTAATTTAACTTGGCCTTATCTGAGAAACACTTTATCTGCCCTTCCATGCTAAATGAAAGCTTCACTGGATAGAGCAATCTTGGATGTAGGTCCTTGTCTTTCATGACTTGGAATACTTCTTTCCAGCGCCCTCTTGCCTTTAAGGTCTCTTGAGAAATCAGCTGACAATCTGATGGGACCTCCTTTGTAGGTGACTGTCTCCTTATGTGTTGCTGCTTCTAGGATTCTCTCCTTCATTTGAATCTTGGCTAATGTAATTATGATGTGCCTTGGTGTGTTCCTCCTTGAGTCCAACTTCTCTGAGACTCTCTGAGCCTCCCGGACATACTTGAAGTCTATTTGTTTTACCAGATTGGGGAAGTTCTCCTTATTACTTATTCAAATAATTTTTCCACTTGTTGTTCTTCCTCTTCTCCTTCTGGTACCCCTATAATTTGGATGTTGGAACATTAAAAGATGTCGAAGAGGTTCTTAAGCCTCTCCTCATTGTTTTGAATGCTTGTTTCTTCATTCTTTTCTGTTTGGTTGTTTTTTTTTTTCTTTTTTCTGGTCCACTCCATTGATTTGATTCCCAGTTTTCTTCCCATCACTATTGGTTTTCTGTGCATTTTCCTTCATTTCACTTAGCGGAGCTTCAGTTTTTCATCTAATTTGTGAGCAGATTCAACCAATTCTGTGAGCATCCTGATCACCAGTGTTTTGAACTGTGCATCTGATAGGTTGGTTATCTCTTTGTTGCTTAGTTGTATTTGCTCTGGAACTTTGATCTATTCTTTTGTTTGGGCCATTTTTTTTTGTCTTGTTATGCCTGTTACATATGATGGGCAGAGCCTTACTGTTCATTGGGGTGGGGCAACCTTGTTCCTGGGTTGTGATGCTATATGTGGGGGTAAGGTCTGAGAGGGAACAATGGCATTTACTCCACTCTCTGTTAAATTTCAGTCCCTTCCACTACTTCCTCCAAGCAAACTGGGCATTTCTGGTGCTGATTCCTAGGTGGGAGGGCTTGTGTACATTCTAGGACCCTTGGGTCTCTCCAACAAACTCTCCTGTGAAGTTGGGAGACTCTCCCAGCACCTCAACCCCCATAGGTGTTTTCAATCAGTGTTTTGAGGCTTTATTTCCTTGCACTGGGACTCTGGGTTGTGTGGTCTGTCTCACTCCCCAGTTTCACCTGGTTTATCTGATTGAGAATGTAGGACCACCCGGTTAGCCAGCTACCTTGTGCGCTGTGCCCCACTTCACAATGGCCACCTCACTGGGTCTGCCTGCTGCCACCCCATGCCCGGGGTCTGCAGGCCACTGCCTGTGCCCCCCAGCATCTGCCCATTGCTGACTTGCGTGCCTGAGTTTTGTCAGCTGCTGCCTTGTGCGCCCAGTGCCATTGCTTTTTTTGCTGAGACCCCTCTCTGCCAGACCTCCCAACTCTGCCCCTCCTACCAGTCTGGATGAATGTGTCTATTTCAGCTCCTTGGTTGTCCCACTTTTGTACAGTTCAATTTTCTGTCAGTTCTGGTTGTTGTTTTGTTTCTAAATTGTTGTTGTCCTTATTTTG